GTTCCCCATCTGATCAGGATGGGCACGGTGTCACTGAGGTGAAGGGACTACCAGAACTGGTTGTCTTGGTGATTGTCGGTGGAATGCAGGTAGCACTTTCCATTGCCATCTGTGTTCATCCTTCCACCAGGGCTTCCTTTTTTTTTTTTTTTTTTTTTTTTGAGATAGGCCCTTGTGCAAGACCTCTATCCTGGTGGTGGTAAGAGAACCACCGGGATTGAGGCTTTGCCTAGCGGGCCGCTCCATCGATTGGTGGGGAGCAGCACCTGCTGGAAACCGGGTCCAGCGTCCCTTACATACATCTTTACAGAACAATACAATGAGAGTGACGCCAATGTGCTGGAAACCGGGTCCAGCGTCCCATATTCAGTCTACTCTTCCATACTCAGCCATACCTATCCTGCGGCGCGGTCAGGTATTGGGAGGGGGCCACCAGGGGGCACCAGTGGGGTCTCCCTCCGACCCCTAGCCTCTGCCATCCACCTGCTCTCCTCCTGGCACTTCGCATATCTGCAAGAGCATGTATTTGAGAACTGAAACAACTGTAGAGTCAGAAAACAACCAAATTACAACAAAACACCATAGAAAACGGCGCCGAAAACCGGTGGACTCCGCTGAAATCAACTCAACTGGAATCATCTGCAGCCAGCTACAGACGACTGGCCGCTGCTGCTGGGAACCGGGCCCAGCATCCTATGCGCCCAGGCCCAAACCAGTCCAAGCCAGTACCACCTTTATTATTGACCTGCCTAACCTACAACACCTTCGGATAGCCTGCTTCTCCTGCTGCAAGCCGGGTTTCATGCGGCTGGTAAAACTTCGGCCAAGGCCAGCGGGTGGGGTGGGAAGGGATCTGCAAAATCCTGGGCCGGTCGTAGTGGGACGCCGGGATCGATTGCGGTCCAGTCGTGAAAGATCACCCGGTAGTCTCTTGCTATCTCTATCCTGGGTTCTCCTAGCACTTCCCTTTCCGGTTGGCGGCCGGTCCATGACACTTTGGCCACCCATCCCTCTCTCTCTCCGCCTACCCAGTCCGTACTAAATGCGGAGATGATCCTGTTCATGTCCTCCCAGGTGTTCATCAAGTCAAGTTTATCTTTAACTGTCTTCCATTGGGCTGCTATCTCGTACTGAACCAATACCCGAATTTGGTCCAGGGCCTCACCATCTTCCACCCTAKCCCCTCCTATCTCGAGGCAGCATCTCCTCCACCATATGGTCCACAAGATACTTYGTCTGCCTAGGCTGAACATGTTTCCCTCGAATGTCTTCTCMGCGATTGGGGGGTAATGTCCCAAGAGAAGGGCCCTCCAGTCCCATGGCCAAACAGCCCCAGGAACAATGTGACGCCAAATCCTGCCCCAGCTCCTCCATAACAGCACTGATGCGGGACATTGAAGAAATATATGCTCGGTGGTCTCAGCGCTCTTTCTCCCTGGGTAACTCAGGAGGCATTTATGGCACCATGGTAGCGCCTTCCCTTGTTGTTCTAGGCGTGTATGGTCGATCAGCCAATCGTTGGTTGGTAGGCATCTATGCTCAATCTGCCACTGGAGGGCGGAGATCTTAGCGGGTCTTCTGTGGTAATGTGAAAACCACCAGATGGGTTTTAGGAGACTGCGGTCTATATTGAGGTGACGATACCATCTGTCCTCAACACGGTCGCGCAATCTGCGTTTGGGTCTAAGCATCCGGTAAGCAGATTTGGACTTTAAGTTGCATTACGCCAACTTGTTTGCCTCTCCCTTCCTGGTTGGGAAATTCAGGCCAGAAAAGGTAGCCGACCACTTTAAACCATCTCTCACTCACCCCTGCCCACCTCATCGACAACGAACGCGTCAAGATGAAGGAAAGGCATCAGCGCGTCCACAGAAGACTCGATTCGATGCTCCTATACAGGGGGGTGGCGAGGCACTTTACCCAGAACCGCCTACTAGGAAACAGAGGGAAAGCCGGGGAGGCGAAAATGGACCTGGATCCCTCGCTGAACCCCGGAATAAATGGCGGGAGGGAAGCACTAAGGGATCAAGCACCAGGAAAGGAGAAGGAGTCGCTTAGCGATAGTCACAGGGGATCCTCCAACCCTCAGACCCCCCCCTGCTCACTTGCCTCCTCCAACTCATCTCCCCACGACCACTCGTCTCAGACCTGGGCTGAGCGAGTGAAGGGACCCCCCCCCCCGGACACCATCACGATTCAACGCAAAACAGAAGAGGGTAGCAAGGGAAGGGAGGAGGAATGGAAAATTCCTGCGAAAAATCTGACAACTGCGGGGGTCTTCTTCCTCTCCCGTCTCCTGGCCTCCCCCGAAAAAAAGATCCTGCAGCAAGATGGCAGAACAACAATTGGCAGAACCCTCCCAGGGGATGTCGTCAGAACAACGGACACACTGTACACCAGTCACGCGAGTAATTGGGCCTTCCATGACGATGCGGCCTTCAAGTCCACAAACGACAAGGTTGGCTGGATCAGCGACCGCTTAGCGGCCTTCAAGGAGTCTCCTGCGAGCGCACGCGAGCTGTTTCTGATCCAACCTGCATCAACCACTGTCATCACGGTCCTGTGTGTGGCAGAGGAGGACAAAAAAACAATAGATAATTGGAAGTCCCTCCGCTGCGAAAGGTCGGAAGTTCGGATCTACCCCTGGGCTCCCCCGAAACCACAACGGCCAGAGGATCTCAGGGAGCAGATGATGAGAGAACACTTCTGGGTAGAGTTCCGACATATCCCGGTTGAGATCCAAGCTGCGTTCGTGCAGGACTTCGCTGAGAAGTATGATGTGGTAGGCTTCATCAAC